AGTAGTACTCCGCCACATGTAAATACCACATGACTCTCTAGAGAAAGAATCTCACTTGGGAGATTTCCTTTGGCTTGATTGCAGGGAGGGAGCTGTGTGGCAGAGCTGTCCAGGAGTCTGGCACCCCCGATACAGTCAGGTGTTGTAAAGAGGCCTGAGGAAATCAGACTGTTTTACCTCTGTTTCATAGTTAGCACATCAGTAGGAGGACGAAACACCGTGAACCACTGCAGTCTCCCACCTCTGGGAGTTCCAAGCGTGGAGATGGGGTAAGAAACATCACATGGGGTCAGACGTGTGTGTTGTGAACGTTGCTTGCTTATTAAAAACACATTTGTATGTGACGTTTGCGCTGTGTTAAGGCTCTGTGAAAGTGTCTGCAGCATGACTTCCCACTGTAGCAAGGTCTTCATTGTCAAGCGCACACACAGTTCTCTCTAAGTGAGGGGAGCTCGGTATATATATATTTTTTTCTTGTTCAGCGCACAGCAAATAGGCTGCCTAGGGCCCTGGCTGTCGCACCAGAGCCCTCCCTTCTTGAAGTGTGCCCCTCCCCTGGGACAAAGGGGCAGGGTGTGGCTGTGGATGGAGGGGCAGTCGTGATGGAGACGGCAAAGAGAGGGAGCTGCGGACATGAGAGGAAATGCTCACTTGGGGCTGCAGATGGACATTAAGTGCCCTGAGGCCCTGGGTTCAATCCCCCACCACACCGCAAGTGAAAAAATGATTAAGTAGGCAAACAGAAATGATGCGGACGGCTCTGTGTGTTCAGCCCTGGATTCCCGAGAAATCTGATTTTCTCAATGAAAACAGACATTTTTTTGTCACATGACAACTTCTAAAATCTCAACTTTCAACAACAGATATTATTAACGTTAATGGTTAATAGAAAATGTTTTAGGACCAATCCAAAGACATAGGAAAAGCAGGCATTCCTTCAGACTCTGAGTATTCATGAAAAGCACAGAGATTTGTAGAGAGGTGAGATCAGAGTGTACAGAGGTTTTCTTTTTTCCATTTTAGTTTAGTCAGTTAGAATTTTATGCCTCACAGCCATACAAAGGCATATGCAATCATGTCAAAATTTCACATAGAAGCTGAAATACAATTATGTGAAAAGTCTTCAGCTGCCTAGGCTTCGGCTTTCGCCATGGTTTGCCCATGTTCCCCTGCCAGGCCAACTCTCGAGCCTTAAGCTGGCAGAGAGCAGAGAACAGGGCCGGGGCCCTCGGATCCCGCCAGCCAGCACGTGGCCCCGCCTCTCCCCTCGATGGCGCTGTCCCTCGGAGAAGCAATGCCAGGCCAGGTCACGCTGCCCCTCCCTCACCACCTGGCCCTCCCGACACACAGCCACCAGGGCCTCCTGCACCCAGAGAGGTGCCCTGGAGGGGAGCCGGGGGCGGGAGGAAAGGAGTGTGGGCGATGGTCATGGCCGGGGGAGAGCTGTGGGCATCTATTCACTGGATCAAAACCCCACAGCGCAGCGCTGAAAATGTAAAAGGCTGGCGTCAGCAGGAAGGCAGTCGTTTCTCAAACCCGTGAAGCTCTCAGACTGATTTCTGCAAGTGGCAGGGAATGCGAGGGGCTGGATGAAATGGGGCATCTGCTCTGTGCTTCCCTGCCTGCGGGGTTGGGGACTTGAGCGGATTCCTGCTTGGCCTTTTCCTCCTCTGTTGCCTAAAGCTTCACTTCCCCAGCGCTAAACTAATTGTGGTCTCCTCAGCCCGTCCTCCTGTTCTATACGAGGGTGGCTTTTTGCAGCCGTTTTCCCTGCAGAGCGTTTCCTCACCCTCCGGGAGACCCTCCTCAACCCCACCGAGCACCTTCCCAGTCCCTTCCGGTCTCTCTTCAGCCGTGGTACTCACGCACCTGGGATTGCACAGCACCTGTTGTCCCGTGCCTCTTGCTCCCTGCTAGACTTGATCAGCCCTCAAGGATAGAGCCCAGAGTCCAGGCCTTTGCTTCTCATCTTGGTATTGCCTTACAGAGTCCACAACACGCTGGCACCCGATGCCCGTGCTGCTGAACAGAAGTTCAAGAAAGGAAGACAGCTGTCCAGCTGTGGCCGCCGGGCCCGGATGGTTCTGATACAGCAGGCCATGGCTGATACCGTTTGCCGGGGGAACTGTGACTGAAGATGGGAAAAGCCCCGTAGGTCCTTACTCGAAGGAAGGAGCAGAAGAGGAAACGTTGCTGCTGGGGCTGAAAACCAAAATTCCTTCACAGATGTAGCCCAGTGCGTTGCTATGCCTTGGAGGGTTGGTATTGAAAACATGCAGTGGCAGTGAGAGAGGCTATCACATTCTGCAGGCAGAGCCTCAGAGCCAGAGCCCCAAAGACGGCCCATTAATTTCTTCTTTTATAACACCAACTGCACAGCTTGACGACGTGTGTTTACAATCGTTTTAAACCTTTAAAATATTTTCCAATGTGTGCATGCCGGCCGGCTCTACTTATGCTCCTTGTGAGCATGGCCCATGGTTGTGAGTTGTCTTTCACTTTTCCACTACTTAACTGCGCCTGGTATCATTCCCATCCTGCTACTGCCAGATATAACGGAGAAATCGAGCTCTAAAACACACTCCTGAAGAAATCTCCCTGGACGGCGCTGGCCAGACCCTTTTACAGAGCTGAAAACTTAAGCTGTAATGATAAAATGTTGGCTTTCCTCCCTGAAATAATCTAAGGAAGAACTGGAGGGAATGAAACTCAAATCCGACAGGACCACAAAATTAGGGCGCAGCTAACAAAAAAGGATTCTGAGTGCCAGAAGAGATCTAAACTAAATAGAAAGCGGTACATTTGAGATATTGCTATTTGACCCAGACAGTTGCCCCAAAGCTGGGTTAAGTGGAGGTCCCTGAAGAACCCGGCAAGGCACTCATGGGAGGAAATGAGGCAAATAGTTTTCCTGGACAGTTTGGCCATATGCATCTGCTACAGGGTGAGACAGAGGGGAACACGGACCCCCTCCCGGCTTAGACACAGAGCACTTGAGTGAGACCATGTCCACGGTCAGAATGATGAGACTGAGCCCATGGAAGACGTCATCCTCAACAAGATTGGTCTATGCTAGGTATATGCATGGCTATACCTTACTGTTGTTAACCACGGCAGAGGGGAAGCCAGCAGGTCCAAGGTGATTACTGAGCGACATCTCTATGCCTACTAGAGTTGTAGGTCCAGCATTTAAAGTCACGGATGCCGGGTGTGGTGGTGCATGCCTGTAATCCCAGCATTCAGGAGGCTGAGGCAGGAGGATCGCTGTGAGTT